TACCGCTTCGTCATCGGAACGTCTAATGAGAGAAGTTCACAGGAGCCTTGCACGTCAGGTTTTCAACGGTGCGTTACCGTCGAACGTTGGACGTCGAGTAATTGAACAAATGCGCTACGATATTCGAAAAACATACGTTACTATACACATTTTAAAGCAAAGCGGATGTGTCTATCATCTTTTGTTGCGAATTACTCACAAATACGAAATGTTTGAATTTGTTTAGAAGAAAAAACGTAACCTATCCTTTTTTGCATAAAAATACCATTTATCTTCCGGATTGGTATCCGATTCACACCTGCAAGGTAAACCAGTATATTTTGCTATAAAATGCCCTTTGAAGCTGTATATTGCTCAATAAACTAGTAGTGAGCAACGTCGCTCGACAACAACGTTTCCGGCCCGGACTTGATTCCTGTCGTTATAAAGAAGAGATTTGCAGCGGAGCTTGCACCAGGTCTTTCGCGTCTCTTCCAGATATCTTAAGAATCCGGCAGTTTCACAGACAACTGGACCGTGACCAACCCATCTCAAAAAGGATCTAAGACCGATCCTTCTATGGGCCTATAGCACTGGTTTCTGTTAAAGGTAAGGTGATGGACGATTCATTTCGGCTGGCTTTCATTCGTATGACCTCACTCTGCACAAGACCTAGCCTCGAGCACTGCTCATATGCTTGGGGTGCTGCCGCCCCGACTAGATGATCCATGCTCGATCTTGTTCAGAGGAGAGCTGTCCGACTGATCGATGACTCTTCTCTGACAGTTAGGGTCGTATCGTCAGTCGTTGCTACAATTGTAGGACGCCTTTATGGCCTCCTTGATTTTCATAGTTTTCTATTTTCCGTGTCAGCGCTCTATTTTGAGGTTATGTCACAAATATCTATTTGCATCAAATTGTTCGTGCTTTTGATTTATATCATTTTTTATCAGCCTGAAATTTCCCTGAATTGAAAAAGAAATCATAACTTCACAATAGGAGAGTGCTGACGCTGACCCGGAACAGGTGCAATATAGAAATCTTTGAAGGAGAGAAAAGACTATGACAATCAAGGAAGCCATAAAGGCGGCCTACAATTGTAGGAACGACTACCGCTACACCTACCGGATTTGCTCATCAGAGCTCTCCTCCATGATGCCGCCGCGCGATGTGCCTGTCAGACAGACTCCCCCTGACTTCGGCCTCCCATCCTCACCGTGTCGAACTTCGTACATGTAGAACTGGGCAGATACGACCGCTTCTTTCTCCCTAGGGTATCGAGATTGTGGAACAATCTGCATGAGGACGCTTTTCCCAGTTCTACTAACCTTAGGCAATTCAGAAATCCTATTAACAAAGTTTCTTAAAGCTCCTCACATAGCAGCCCCGGCACCCTGCCATTTAGGCTTCTGCCGGCGTAGCTGCTTCGGTGTAAAAAAGTGATTTAATTGTATAAACATCTTGGAAAAACATAAATATGTATTTTCACATCATTTTATCCCCTATTTGGGATAGTTCTGTGTATATCCTATACTTTGTATATTCAATAACTTCGGTTAATGTTAGTTATCCTATAATTTCAAATTAAGTTCCGAACTATCAGAATTTAAGACTTTATTATGCCATAAGGGGTGATTAGTGTACGTTCAGTACACTAGATTTCCCCGAAAAGGTTCACTAAGTAATCCCATATCAATATTGGTGGAGCTTCATTGCCGTTAGTGGATACTGCGAAATTTTAGGGTTGACTTTTGACACTATTCTAAGCATCAAGGAACATGTTTCAATAACTCTGAAAAAATTCTACTGCATTTTGAAGCGATTTTATTGTGATAGACATATTATGAATTTTAAAACTAGGAAAAAACTACGTGAATCTCTCATACCAGTATTTCTAATTTTCGCTCATTGTAACGCTGTTTCCTATCCATGCCACTAAAAATGTTACAAAAGTTCCAAAGTAGCTGTTGTAAATTTATTTATAACCTAAAAAATATGATTCAACTACAGCAAAAATATTTAAGCTAAAACGGTTATGCTTAGTTGACATGTATATACCGGGTGTCGCTAGCAGGTGGCTCACACCTATAATTTCCTTCTTCCATTAAGTGCAAATTTTCTTTGGACTACTATATTTTATTATTTCTGTTGAAAACGCCTAAATTTGTAAAATGACTTTTGTCTGTATAAAGAATTTTATAAGGAAAAGTGTTGGCCTCTTGGTATTTTTGTAAAAACCAGTTACAATAATATTCAAGCCCTCGTTCATAATCAGCTTCGTAAAGATGCTGGTGTAATTAATACTTGTAAGACCGGTATTTATACATACTTAAAATTCTACACACGGAATTTTTTGATGTTTTCTGCATACATTCTAGCAGCTTGTACGGAATTTTATCTACATTCTCCAAAAATGAGAAGCATATCAACTTTTTCGCTTCTTGTATTATTATGCATGGTTAATTATTAAACTAGGAAAAACAGCCAGAAGGTAACGTAATAATGTATTAATTTCTTAATAATTTATTTGGTTTGGTATGTTCTTTTTTCTATATGAAGGCATTTTTTTGTTTCAGTTTACTGTACAAGTGAATTTATTATTATAATGAATACCTCAAGGAAGACCTATTATTATTATTATGAGTATTTTTGTCTACATCTAAAAACATAAACAGTAGTTTCCACTGGCTTCCGTTAGTTCTGAGAGGGAACTAAAAACGTCTATTTTTATCATTGTCTGCTAATATCAATCAATTTTGTTTACCAAAGAAATCGTAAAAGATATTTTAACAAAAACACCGTTTCTACTATTTAAAATCTGTTTTATTAATATCACACTAATTTATTACAAATGTATGACTATGTCGACTGGACTATCGCGTTTTGAGATCTTGACTAATCATCCGCTGCCGGTCGACTTCCTGCCTGCCCTCGGAGTGGGTATTTATCTTCGAAGCGTCGAGGGTGTCTCTTTGCTACTCAAAATTCTAGTTATGAGGTCGTTACAATATGTTGTGGCAATAATAAAACGCAAAGCTAATGATATCCTTCAATTTAGTGTATGTTTTAGTATTATGGCTAGGTTCCCAAAATTGCCTTCAAAACATTGTACAGTGCAACTTCGAAAATCCGGACACATTTCGTACCAAGTAGGATTACCGAAGGATTCGGATAAATGGAATCAATCATTTTTTATATTCTTTTATATCTCATATTCTTTTCTAATTATAAATAAGTCATTTATATATAACAAAATTATTCAAATATAAATTAAACAGCAATAATAAGAACTTAAATACACATTTATAAGTACACATATGAATGAAATAATTTATATAGCACATAGGTAGATAAAAAAAAAATATGTAAATTTAAGTGGCTTTAAAAAAATAATCTACTTTTTTCTGAATGCTCTTGGAGGTAGCTGCGTCGCCTGCTTTCTCTTTCACCTTTTTAAGAGCAAAGCTTCGTGCATAAGTAAATCGTTTTCTTCTGCCCACTGAATACCTACTGTTAATGCCTTTACAATATCGCCAAGGTTTTTCTTTAGCCACAATATTTTAATCGTCCGTGTCTAAATAGCTCCTCTTCAGTTAGGTCAATAAAAACTCGTTTTTACCTAATGCCCATTCAACAATTTCTTCCAGGTTTAAGACATTTTCTGGATCTATTTTGCCTCGATTTTCGGCCATACCTTGTTTGCTATCAGTCGGATCTTTTTACGACTGGAGAAGAAGTATAGATGAAAAAGAATGTATTGTAACAGTATTTTTAGACTTCCAAATGGCATTTGAGACTATAGATAGGGATAAATTGTTAATGAAATTGCCTGACTATAGTTTTAAAGGATCAGCAACATTTTACAAAATTATTTAGTAAACATAAGTCAAAAAAGTTAAGTTGTAAATATTATGTCAAGCGGTCAAAATATATCAGTAGGGGTGCCACAGGGGAGTAAATTAGGGCCGTTATTATTTATAAGATGATATCTCTGACATTTTAGATCACTCCAAAATTCAAATATTTGCGGACAATACACTTTATATATATATATATATATATATATATATATATATATATATACAGGGTGACTTCGAAGTTGAGTCATTTATTTTAACAGTGAGTAGATCTGATCAAAAGAAATGTTTTTTTCCTTTACCATTTTTCTGGTAAAATTAAAGTAACAAAGTTATAGCCCTTTGGAAGTTTGAGTACCGCCCTGCCTATTATATGCTCGTGTTTGGCGACAACGGATATAATCCGCCTGACCGGTTCATCGCATCGGAAACAAAAAAGCGAAAGAATTTGAAACGTTTATCACGATGTTTTTCGTCAGTCGATAAATCCTGAGTGAATAGTAGTGTGTTGCGTGGCTCAAACGAAATCAAAAATGGCACATGTTTACGAAAATGCTGAACTTGTGGACATGATTCTTATTTACGGGGGGGCAGTCTTTACAAAATGCTCCCGGATGCATCACGGATTTATGCGAATCGGTTTCCCAATCGAGTGCAACCAACCCCTCGTGCCTTTGTTAATGTAGTGCAAAGGGCTCGTGAATCAGGTGACTTACGACCTCACAGGTGAGGGCATGCTGCTCCAAGACCGCACGATCAAATACAGGTCCGCACTGAAATACTTGTCGGAAGGATACTTTATTAAACAAGGTAACATTTTTTTTTTATTTTTTTTTATTTTTACACACACATTTTGGTTTATCTTCCTTCTACAATCATTATCTGAAAATTAATGACTCAACTTCAAAGTCTTCAAATATAGCACATAAGCATTTGGACACTGCTTTAGAATTGTTAAATAGTGATACTAAAAAAATTATGAATTGGTTAAATGTTAATAAACTTAAATTAAACACTAATAAAACAAATATATGTCAATAGGGAAACATTTACGTGAGAAAACAATTAGGCTCATGATTAATGATGAAAAATTGAAGTAGTCGAATCATTTAATATATCTGGGTATATATGTGGATAGTAAACTACTGTTTTACGAGCATAATGAATACATTATTTCAGAAATATTAAAAAAGATAAGTTACTTCTATAATCGTAGTATGTATTCCAAAAAAATTGTGTATAACACTATAATTCGTCCATAAACAATAGTTCCCAGAAGGGGCATTTTTGTTATAAGTGTACTGATATCTCTGAAAAACGTGAAGCAGTATATTTCACATACTTTCTATCCCCTATTTGGGGTAGCTCTGTGTATATCCAATATTTTGTATGCAACGTAAAATCAGTTTTTGAGAAAGTGTTTTATACAGTATGATTATAAAAGTGCAAAAATGTATGGCTCACCCTGAATTACGTCTTTAAACTATCAGAATTTCTATGTGGAACTGATTAAATACGTTTTCTCCAAGCCGAAAAACACCTAAACGTTTTTCTTAGAACTTGTAATTTTTGAGGGTGGACTTTTCTGGGTTGGATTTAATCCCGACGTTACAAATGAGTTATACTCTCTTTAAGCCTCATTCATCAGCTCAGATTTGTCACATCCACGACCTGGTGCTCACCTAATGTAGAGCTGCTATTCGATGTACAGGATGGCCAACTAAGAATGCGAAGTACTGTATCTGGGAACCTATCCATAGTAGAGGCTTGCGGCAAAAAAGTTTTGACCAAAACGGCCAAGAGGAGAACCTGGAAAATATTTTCAAGTTTCTGAAATGGCGGCTATGGGGCGTAACTGAAACCTTGAATCCAATAAAGTTTCTGTGTAAAAAATACCTGATTAAATTCGAGGATAACCTGAACCTTTTTTGTATGACCATTTTTGCTGTATCTCTAAAAATAAAGTGGTGGGGGGGGTATTCAAATGTTTCCGTAAAAATACCCTGTATCTTCGAAAAGGCTGAGCCGATTTTAACAAACTAGGGCTAGCCGAAAAGAGCTATTTTTGGACTACAATTGCTATAATATTTGATGTTTTGTTAGTTTCAGATGTGGCCGCTAGAGGGATTTTTTTCGTCATTCCGACATAAATAGTTAATTTTCGCATAAAAATTGCACCTATATGATTTTTTTATGAAAAAGTAGATAAATGATATCTAAACAAGCTCGCGAAAACTGCATCTCGATATCTTGTCCCTAACCTAAAATTTTGGCAAAGAAAATGTTATATGTACAAAAATCTGTAGATTTTTTTAACTAATTTTTCCGTAATTCTTTTTTATTCATCAGAATAAAATCACCCTTTTTGAAAATATCATAAAATATCACTAAAAGATAAGTAAGCAATGCTAATAACAAAAGGCATATTTTTTGTTTAAATGCATATTCACCTTGGGTTTATAATAGAAACAAAACAAATACCTAATCACAACATAAATAATCCTCAAATTGTTAATAGCTTCGCGTTACTTTGAGCAATTTTTGTCATTACGAAATGCGTTTTACGAACGGTGAAGCTGTTGATATGCTTGCAGTTTATTTTGAATGTCTTCAGAATGCCGCAGTAGAAAAAGGGTTTACGCGACTCGATATCCAAATCGGCGTCTTTGCCATGCGAGTTTTTCCTCGCTTAGTGGCGAGCTTACTAGCCAATAATAGTTTTCGTCCTACGTTTCAACGGCAAAGAATAGGAAGAACAAGAAAATATTAACCGCGTACTGGGATATATTAAAGGAAATGCTCATGTCAGCACAAGGGCATTATCCCTTGAGTTGGACATATCACGAACAACAGCTCAAAATATTTTGAAGGACCATAGGTAAGTTCTATTGACCATCAAAAAAGGGATTTATTTAGATTTAACTTTTTTTTTAATTACTCAAAGTATGTACCCATATCATGTCGTTTTTCATTAGGCCTTGAAAGAATAAGACTTTGATCGGAGATTGGACTATTGCCATTGGGTGTTAAAGAGAGACAGAGAGAATTTTTATTTCAAATTATTTGGACCGATGAAGCCACCTTTAATAGGGACTGGAGAGTCAATCTGCATAATATGCATTGGTTGCGTGAAGTGCACCAAGCGCGTTGGAGTTTAAATGTGTCGTGTGGCCATATTTTTTCGAGCAATCCCTAAATGGCGATGTCTTTCCTGACTTTTTGGACAATCAATTACCGTTGCTGTTGGAAGATGTGCCACTAGAAAGAAAAACAACAAAACTTGTTTTTACAGTTGGATGGTTGTCCATCACATTTTGCTATTACTGTGCGAGTGCATATTGATGCAGTATCTCAACAGCGGTTGATTGGAAAAGGAAGTCTGTTTCCATGGCCTTCGCGCTCCCCAGACTTAACTTGTCTTGATTTATATTAATGGGGGCGGTTGAAGGACATCGTGTTGCAGACTCAACCTACAACCAGAGTTATGATAAAACGGATTCGTAGTGCAATACGAAACATACCGAGAGTCGAAAATGAAGCTCCAGTTTTGTCTACCCAAGAGAGGCTTCTGGAATGCATAGAGTCAGTATTTCGAGCATTCCCGGGGTCGTTAAAAGCATTTATTTTTAAAATCTGTCCCTTTTAGGGCCACAACTTAAAAATGAAAAGAAATTCCAGAAAAATTAGTTAAAAAAATAAGGGATTTCCGCATAAAATTTTCTTTGGCCTAAAGTTTAGGTTAGGGACAAGATATCGAGATACGGTTTTCGCGGGCTTGTTTAGACATCATTTAGCTACTTTTTCATAAAAAAAATTCATACCAATGCATTTAATTTTTTTGAGAAAATTGACCTGTTCTATCGAATGTCGAAACAGACCCTCTAGCGGCCACATCGGAAACTAACAAAACTTCAAATATTATACATGTATAGCCCAAGAATAGCTATTTTCAACTAGACCAAGTTTGCTAACTACGACTCAGCTGTTTCGAAGATACAGGGTGTTTTTTAAGGAAAGATTTGAATAACCCCCACCACTTTACTTTTAGAGATACAGCAAAAATTGTCAAACAAAAAAGGTTCAGATTATCCTCGAATTTAAGGATCAGGTATTTTTTTGTTAGGTTTATGTAGCGGAATTCACAGAAACATCACTTTTTTAGATATCAGATTAGATTGGGATTTTTTCCGCAAGCCTCTATGATTGATAGGTTCCCAGATACAGGTACTAAATTTTGCGAAGTAACACCTAGTTTTCTGGATATTGACCAAATTAAGGAAGCAGTATACAAAGAAATTGTGTAATCTATAACGATCTTTTGATGGTACTCACTTCTGAGCAGCTGCTGATGTATCGCCTGTACGGCAGCCGCGCTATGCTGTGCAGCATACTTGTCCATAGTGGGCGGTATCCCTTGGCCGCCTCCGCTGGCCGTTGAGCTGCCAGCGCTATCTCCCCTGCAGAAAAGAGTACTTCGATTAAATTTTAATATCCATGAGAGGGAGGGTATCACGTGATACGTCATCCACAATGTTTTTGATAAAAGTTTTACTAGTTTATCCATAAAAGTTTATGATTGTATTGTTTTCTGATAAGCCATGATGATTTTTAAGTGTTCAACCAATTGTTTCACTACCTTTCTCGAAATGTGACATACTGAGACTTCTCATCGTAAACATCATATAGCAACAATCTCGCTTCCTCCTGAAGATTATAACACATTATCGAAATCTACCCAGTCACGTTGCCAGCAATCAGTACTTCGATCCATAGGGAGTCAACTCATATGGGAGGATGGAAAACAGTTCGGTGTTGCCGGACCACAACCTGATACTACCGGTATCCAGAAAAGATTGCGGCTGTGACAAATATGACGGTTTATTGCTGTCATTTATAGTTAACCTCCCTTTTATTTGTGTCTGGATGCAGTGTTGCCATTCGTAGCGACTTGTCGCGAAAATAGCGACTTTTTTACTACTTTGAGACGTAGCGGCGATTTTCAAAAACAAACCTGTTTGTAGCGACTTTTTCGACTTATTTTTAGGACAATTTATTTTTAATTATTTAACGATTTAGATATTAATTGAAATTATCGTAATAAGTACATACATTTATTTATATTCAAATTATGTTTAAGGACGAGGCGCTACTGATTGCCAGTATGCCGGTTGTCATGTCTGCTTTATCGGCTCAGCTGGGATTACCACGATACCACGTATTAGCTGTGCTCTGGTACTTCCCAGAAACCTCTTGGTCTTGTCAAACCCTTTTGTTTTAATTCCATAATATTATTGACCTGTGACTTACGTCCAACGTATTTGTTTCTTGGGTAATTGAAATTTATTGTGATTCGGGGAATACAATGGATAGCATAAAAAAATACTTTGGTCTAGCTGAGAATCAACCTTCCACTTTGAAAAGGGGTAAGTTATTTATTTTGCCATCCATCTTTTGATTTTTATTGAATTTATATCTGTTACTTTAAGGTCGCGCTGTATCAGAATCTGAGGAAACTGAAGAATTAAATATCCCACCCGCAAAGGCGACTGAAAAGAAAAAATCGCGAAAACAAGGTTTTTCTCTGAAATGGTTGGAAGATCCTCTTTTCTCAGGATGGTTATTCAAATCTAAAGATGGAAAAGCTAAGTGTATATGTTGCAATATTTATTTGTCGACAAAAAAATCGGATTTATTAAAACATGCTAAAACCGGCAAGCATACATTAAATTCCCAGAACGTATCCAATACCAAAACAATAAGTGTTTTGTTTAAACAGCAAAATATTACCAAAGACGTAATGATCGCTGACCTGAGATATTCATTATTAGTTGTGGCACATAATTTTAGTTTTAATTCTGTAAAACATGTCGTAGATATTTCGAAAAGAATATTTAGTGACTCTTCAATGAGTGAAAAAGTTAAATTAAGTAGAACAAAATGTACTTTGTTAAAAATGTTCTTTCACCTGTAATATGTGATGAACTAACATATCAGCTAAAAAATACCTCATTTTCAGTTCTAGTAGATGAAAGTACGGATATTTCTAATAACAGGGTAATTTGTATTTCAGTTAGATTTGTAAACCTTAAAAATAATTTAACGACTCAGCTTTTAGACTGCATAAAAATTGATGCGGATGAGGGAACAGCTAAAGGATTGTTTTCATTATTTGAAATTTGTCTTAAGAAGTTTAATTTAAAATTTGAAAATATTGTGGGGTATTGTTCAGATAATGCCAGCATAATGATGGACAATAAAGAATCATTTAAAACATACTCACTTAGTAAAAATGAAAATATTGTTGTAATTGGTTGTGTTTGTCATTTGTAGGTTCTGCAGCATCGGAATGTTTGCCAACTAATATAGAATGTTTTTTGCAAAATATTTATATATATTTTTCTAGAAGCCCAAAGCGTCAATCAATTTTGGAAGAGTTCCAGGCGTTTTTTTAAGAAGGAAAAACACAGAATTTTGAGACCAGCCAAGACTCGATGGCTCTCATTGTCTAAATGTGTAGATAGGGTGCTTGATCAGTGGGAAATTCTAAAAGAATTATCTAAAGTTGCACTAGTCGAAGATAAAAATCCGACTGCAAGTGGAATTTATAATGAATTTTTAAACCCTTTTGTAAAAGCATACTTGGAATTTCTTAATTATATTTTACCCCTATTTAATGCATTCAAGTGTGTCCAGTCTGACAAAGCTTTATTCCTCATTATTACCAAAGAAAGTAAGAGTTTTACCATCAACTGTGTGGAAATTTTGTTTAAGCGGAACTTTTTGTTGATGAATCCCTATTTACATTAAATTTTTTCCATCCCCATTGTTTACTACCATTAGAATAAATTCAGCTTAGGCTTAGCGTGGAGACTTATATATATTTAAAAATTTAGATAAAGGTGACGTTCAACAATTTAAGTTAAAATGCTTGAGTTTTTACCAAAAAGCTGCTACCAACTCAATTAAAAGATTTCCTGTTAAAGATACGTGGATGGAACATCTTGATTTTATAGAACCCAATAACGTTTTGAATTTTAAATTCACGGAAAATTCAATACATATTAAAGTTGTTTTAAAAAAAATTAAATATGCTGATAGTAATTTGGCGTTTTCAGAACTGACTAAAATACAAAATTATTTTTCTTTCGAAGAAAAAGTACAGCTTAAACAAAAATCAGCGGTAGCTTTTTGGGGTGAACTGAAAGAATTACAAAAATTTTACGACCAATATGTTTTTGCAAATATTGGGAAAATTGTTATCAGTATTTTGATAATTCCGCATGGAAATGCTGATGTCGAAAGAACGTTTTCACATATGGCAGATATAAAAACCAAAAAAGAAATAAATTAAGTGTTGACCTTTTCTGTTGTATTTTAAGGGTAAAATTGGATTTAAAACAAGATAAGAGTTGCTGTTTAACATATAAAATAAATGATAATCATTTGTCAAAAATGAACAATGTTTATCAAAATACAGGCACAACTCTCCAAGAAGATTCTCATTTAAGTGATAGTGAATAGGTTAGCTTAGTCTTTTTTTATTTATAACTTATGTACTTCGTTATGTTTTTTTGAAACTTTAAATTTAAATACAGTTTTATTTGGTTTTATTGGCCGTTTTAGTGCACCTCAATTAAAAGTAGACATTCCTTTGTAGCGACAAAGTAGCGACTTTTCGGATGGCTGGTAGCGATTTTTGGTCTGATCTACCTGGCAACACTGACTGGATGTAAGGATGGCCGGAGTGCCTCGAAGGTAGGTTTTTCGTAAACACAAATTTTATCGAAGTCGTTCTTATTTAAACTACATTTTTTGTTGAATTGATGAACTTTGGAATCTGTAGTATAACACCTAATATGGTGAAATTGTATAAGAGAACAACTCATTATCTTCTAGGTGATTATAATCAACAAACGGAGCACCCTGATCCCTTCAAAAAGGGTTTAGTGATAGAGAGATTCTATATTGGAAGGATGAATTTGTTAGACCACTACGACTATTGAGGATTTATACTTGATTCAACAGTCACATATGTGGAGCGCTATGAAACATTCAAGAAGCAGAGTTGAAGGCACTTCAGTCCACTGCCAACCCATGGTGATCAGAGATAGATACAATATGGATTACTTGCTACTGTTTTCTCTCCAGGGCATATACTCGTACAATTGAGTGCTTCAGGGCCATTGCTAATGTGTTTCACAATCATGGCTAATATAAGTTTATATCAAATCGATAGATTTGTAGAGCTTCTCTGTTAATATTGGTATTCTGTAGTTGATATGAGAAACTCACGACAATTTCCGTAGATTTCAAGTTTGAAAAGAAGCTGATAAAAGTGAATCGAAAAGCAGATATCCTGATAATATCAACATGTTTGAATCCAGCCAGTTTCTACGTGACACAGTGGACAGCAGGGGTCAAGTTGATGTAATGTATGCAGACTTTTCCAAAGCTTTTGACAAGATCAGTCATGAGATTCTCCTCAAGAAACTTTGCTATCTAGGTTTACAAAATAATTATGTCTTATCCGAAGTATTCACTGCGACTGGCTGAGTGCCGCAGAGATCCTATTTTAGATATTTCTATTCCCACTTTATATCAATGATTTATGTGATTCACTTACTTGCCATAAGCTAATGTTTTCGGATGATTTAAAAATATATACAACAGTATAAAGTGAAGAGGACTGAATTATCTTACTGGAACAAATCACTTTCCTACAGAACTGGTGTGTTAAAAATCACCTGCAAAATAGTAACATTCAGTCGCAAGTCCAAGCTTATATCTTATTCTATTGACAATTCAGCACTAGAAACAACAGTTATTTTGATAATCAGTTGATATTTAATTGCCATGTAAGCCAAACAGCTCCGAGTGCTTGTTGCACATAGGGTTTTATTGTTATCAATCGCAAGAATTTCAGCGACACCTCAGCATTATTGTCTCTGTTTTTCAGTCTAGTGAGATCCAAACTGGAATGCGACTCATCTGGAGTCCTATGTATAGCCTGTACACCGTTGCTATTGAAAAAGCGCAAAAGACATTCATAGGTCTTAAAATCCAAGTCTGTAGTTACGGATTATTTATCAGTCTTTGGAAAAGCGTAGATATCAGTTATTTGTACTTTTCTTGCATAAGCTTTTGAATAGAAAAATAGATTGTCCTGTATTGTCAGCTCAGGTAGATATTCTGGTTCCTAAAATAACATGTAGACAATTTAATACTTTCCTGTGCGAAAGAGCACAATATAATTTACTATCGAAAGCCCCGATTAATTTTATGTGCCAAAATGCCTACAAAATTTTCAAGTATATGTAATATTTTTCACTGCAGTGTCTGTGAATTAAAGAATAAATCTCGAGCACATCTCTGAAGGGTTTTGGTCAAGTTATGTTTCTTCTATTTTGGTTTTTCCAAGATATTGCTGCTGCTTTAACAAATAAGTGACTACGTATATATCATTAAAAATGCGCACTATATAATTATACGACAGCCTCAGATTTATGCAGAGAGCCGGAAACGTCGCATGCGGCGTTCGTGCACAGTCTGGGAACCATGTGACATCAAGAAAAAAATCAACCGTGTTGCCCTATGGATAGCACGTGACTAACCCTTCCTCGGTACATATGTTTTGTGCTTCGACCGGCCAATAGAACACATTCAGCACATTCCATACTATTTATGATGTATAATTATTGCCACTCTTGAATTTTACATTATTATTTTTATTTTTCATTCAGTATTAATGCAGCCATTGTACCGATCACTTAAATAGTACTCAACGACGTTAAGAAACAATATTTACAGTGCGTCCAAGATAAGGGTCCTATGCATGGAAACCTTGTTGTTTGGCAGTGGATCGAAATTAAGCGCAAACTGTTTTTATTGGTTGTGTTATAATACAACGGCACAACCTTAATTTTACATTAATTTAAAGCTAGACATGCCCGTCCATGTTGCCTCTCAAAAGTCCAACTCAGGTCTTCCTGTCACTTGTCACATGTCATTTGTCACACACAAGATTCATAGGTTGTTACAAAATTGTAAGTCTAGATCTCAATACCTGTGCCAGATATAGCTTAGGTTAAATCAGGAAAAAGTTGCGTTCTTTGGGGCATAATTACATGCAGTTGAGAAACTTGTAAAAATGCCGTGGCTTACTGAGATATTTAGCAAAAACTCAAATTTCACCGAATTATTTTTATTTTTTTCTGACTTCAAGGAATATCAAATAACTAATGAAACTTTTTCATTGGCACATTTTAGGCACTACATGATGGTGTTTTTAAATTTTGTGCATGACGGTTCGTTTTTGAGAAACCATCATCATCAAGTTTATTTTTTATATGTTCCGAAAAAAGTACATTCTGTATCTTATAGCATTTTTTATACAAATTCAACGTTGTCTCACATGTTACAATGATCACACAGGTATATTAAAACAAAATTAACGATTATTCAACGTAGAAATTAAATCTGTGTATATATGGCAAAGGCAAATATAAAATATTGGTAACTTATAGAACTGTCAAAAACAAAACGAACCCACATAATTATTAAACCGGTGGATATGCGCTACAGGCTATAATAGATATTTCTCCTGGTAAATGGAAGACTTTACAACACCATGTATTACTAACATTTTTTTTTTTGCTATTTTGACAAATAAGTACTTGCTTATATGTTAAAACAGCAGCGCGAATGACACCCCATTATAAAATTATCCATATCTCCTGCAGTTATTTAAAGTTTTGGTAACAGTCAAAAAATAATCTACACTTGAGAATATGAATTTATTTAAATCTTATAATATTGTATGAACGAATAAATAATGTTTGTGGTTAATAAGAAATACAAAAATCAGTGTTATCGCTAAAGATTGCATTATTAGAATTTCCAGTATTCTATTTTTCATAACAACCATAAAACAAGAATATTTAATCTCTTTCTTATAACATCAATAATTTGACT